AGGCAGACGGTCTACTGATACTCTACTACTGATACTCTAATGATTTACTGTCGTTTAACTTCTTGTCAACAACATGTGTAAGGGACCATCAAAACAAAGTGATACCTTTGTTATTTAAAAAGAAACAACATTGTACTATTTCTAAAGATGTTCTGCACAGAAACACTAAGCTTTTAGCCATAACCTGACTTTTTCATTAATATAACCCTTTTAGAAAATTTAGAAACTGTTGTTATGTTTCCAAAAGTACAGAGAACAAGTTGTCTATCAGTGACTGACAGCGCTAGTTCTTCAATTAAAGCACTGCTGTTGGCTATTGTTATATAAATGTGTTACACTTGCAGGAGAGAATCTTCATGATAGCTGCTTCATGTTTTGTCCATCCAGAGATGAATCCGGATCTCTGTTTGCATGTAAAAAATAATTCTTTGTCCTCATAGCTTAGAAATGCTGGATAAGGCTGATTGGGTGCTATCAAAGCTGCTGTAATCCTGTGTGTATGTGTGTGTGTTTCCCTACTGGTTCGTTACTATTTGAGAGATGTTTGGAAGACTTTTAACTGCAAAGCGTGATCAATAATACAGTGTTGGGCTGATTAGGACGGGATGTAGATCATTGAGAAAGAGAGGGAGGGAAAAACAAACAAACAGGAGGAGGAGAGAGAGTGAGTGAACGGTGGAGATAGAAAGATGGAGGAACTGTTGGCAAGACAAACCATTTTCCGCACTGACAGATTGCGCTAATCCCACACAGCCATCTGATCTAAGAGGATCAGAGAGGTGAATCGTCTAGTCAGGCCTGGCTGGCCCAAGTGTCTCTGTGTCCTGTGTGTGGAGCTCAGAGCAGGCCATCAGATTTATCCTGTTAAGGTTTGCCTTCTGATGTAGATTTATACCATTGACTGGTAAGTTAGTGCCGTAAATAGTGCGACTATTTAAATGCTTGTACAGTAATGTATAAATAATGAATTGACACACATTTGATACACAGTGCGGTTTTTCAAGACAGTTTCAGCTATAGTAAATAGTGTTTATGAACTTATATAAAAAGCTTTACTTATTTAATTAATTGATTACTAAATATTATGTTATAGATATTAAATATTTATGTTGTGAATAATAATAAACAAAAATATGGCTTATTATTATTATATTTATTATTATTATTATTATGATGATGATGATTATTATTATTATTATTATTATTATTATTAGCATTTCTTATGTTGCATATAAATATATAATATATTATTTATTTGTTTTAATAAAATAACACTATTATTAATTAAATTTATTAATAACTGTATTTATGTGTAGAATAAATAAATCTTTACTAATATTACAGTTTGATTACAGTTTGATACAGTTTGAAACCTTTCATTATAACAATAAGTAATAAATAATATACACAACTGATATGATAACATATTGATAGCTATTTAATTATACTGTTTAATATTTTGAAAAATGATGATAATAAATACAACTCTTTATTATTATCATCCTTATCATCATCATCAAAATCATCATTATTATTACTTGCATTTCTTATGTAAATTATAACTTACAAGTACATTAATTTGTCGTTTTTTTTAATAAAATAAAACTATATTATTAATTATATGTATTAATAACTGTATTTAAGTGTATAATAAATAAATTGTTACTAATATTACTGTTATTATGAAACACATTTATAACAATAGGTAATAAATAATATACATGACTGATATAATTAGTTATTGTAACTAATAGCGGTTTAATTATACCGTTTAATATTTTAAATAAAAAATAAATATTATTATTATTATTATTATTATTACTATTATTATTATTATTATTATTATTAATAATAATAATAATAATAATAATAATAATAATAATAATAATAATAATAATTACAGCTCTTTAATATTATCATCATTATAGTCATCATCAACATCATTTTTATTAATATTTGCATTTCTTATGTTATATGTAATTTGCAAGTAAATTCTTAATTTGTTTTTATAAATTATGTTATAAATGTTATTTATTAATGACTGTATGTATATAATAAATTTTGTACTAATATTACTTTTATTAATATTATTATTATTTACTTTTCATTATAACAAAAAGTTATAAATAACAAGAAATAAAAAATAGGAAGAAATAAAACACAACTGATAGAATTAGATAAACTGGTGCACTTTATATCATAGTTCAGAGGGCAAATAGATCTGACTGGCAAAAGATGATTTAGGAAGAGAAGAACAGCTGACTCCTAGAACCTGTAATTAACAGGTCGATCATTTGGCAAAGAATAATAAAAAAGAGCTGAGGTGTATAGTGAGAAGGTGAAAGAGGAAATGAAGGAGTGAGAAAAGGAGAAGAAGAACGGATAGAGGAGGAGAGGAGGGGTGTTGAAATGGGCTATTTTTAAGCAGCTGTTTTCTTGGTTTGGTGGTGATTAACACAGACTGCAGCAGCAGAGCATGTGCTTTCATTCAATCTGTTTCACACTTTTTTCATTCAACAGAAAGGAGAGAGTGAGCTGTTTAACGTCTTGTCTATGTAATTTCAATTGCCTATGTAAATTCAATCAATTGTTGACTTATATAATGTACAATAGCTTATAAACACAACGGTTCCGTTAGGGTTTAATTAGGTAATGTTATTTATTGCATTTACTAATGTGAACTAACAACATTTATTAATCATAGTTCAATATGTGCACATGCATGATTAAAATCTAAAGCTGTGCTTGTTAACATTAGTTAATGCATTGAGTTAACATGAGCTAACAATTATTGACTTAATTACATTACAATTAACTAAGATGAATAAATACTGTAATAAATGTAATTTTTATAGTTTGTTTCATTAACTAACATTAACAAATGAAACCTTAGTGTAAAATGTTACCAACCTAACTTTATAAATTAAAAATAAAGTATTAGTGCAAATATATAAAAATGAATGCAGATGATTCTTTAAAATTGTAAAAAAGGCTATTTGTTTATATAGAAATATACATTATTCACATCATATAAATACGTTTATTAAATTAAAATTATGTTATGCATAGAAAGTAAAACGTAGGATATATCAATTAAAATAAATACTCTAAATGCATTAAAGAAAATAGTTTAAAAAGATAATAAAAATGTGTTCATAATACATTTTTTAATCAAACGTAAAGACAAAACTATGAATGAAAAAACTTCATTTGCATATTAAAAGAGATTATTAAGAATTTTACATTTATTATTATTATTATTATTGTTATTAATAATAATATACAATTACTTTACAATTCTATAATGCATTGTATTTACAATATATAAAAAAATAATAATAAGAGCATCTAAACAATTACTTTATTTTAAGTTTGTGAATACACGCTATATACACAAAATATATATATAAATGTAAGTGTATGTGTGATTTTTATTTTTTTATTTTTTTTACATTATACACGCATTATTACTATATCATCATCATCATCATTATTATCAGCAGCAACAATAATAAAAGTCTTTCTATACTCAGTGCTGCCACTAGAGGACTCTGTGGGTCTCTTTCAGTGTGTAAGGGCCACTTCTGCTGCAGACTGTGATTTTCCCATCAGGACTGTGTTAGTGAACAGACAACAGGTGAAAGCAAAGGGGCCAATTCATGGCCTAAATCCCAAAAATAGCACCCATTCCCGTCAGCGGGGCACTGGTGGCCAAGTGTGTATGTTTGGTTTTCTTGAGGGGGTCTGGAGGTCTGCAGGGGCGCACAGGGAGATGAGGGCAGGTGATCAAGAGATGAATGTGCTGGATTTAGCAGATCTCCAAAAGAGATGACAGGTGTGGAATGGGGGGGGCCGGGACATGCAGAGCTACACATCGCTTTTTCAGCTTGAGAACCGTTTTAGGCTCTTTGAAGTGTCCTGTAACACCAGTGTTGTTGAGTGCGATGCAGGAATTCCCAGTGAAACAGGATGAGGGGGTGCGACATATAATTCAGTCCCCTCTTTTTTTTAGAATGTTGAATTTTGTTTCCCAGGGACTTTAAAGTTGGTACTAAAGCCACATTTGACACATTTGAGGGAAAAAAAAAATCAAAGAGGGGCTAATAATTCTGACTTCAGCTGTATATTATAACGTAATATATAATAATAGTAAAGAAATAATTGATATTAGAATTAGAATTATATTATAAATAATATTATATTGCTAATTAAAAACATTAAGAATAAGAATAAATATAGATCAAGAATTATTTAATAATAATACCACTTTTACATATGTAAAAATGTATAGTATATAAAATATGTGATATACATGGTATTTAAAATATGAATATATTAATATATTAGTATATGTAATTATTTGATAATTACCTGTAAACAATACTAACTTTTATTATATTTAGTGATTTTAATACAAATAATAATTGTATGTATATATATATATATATATATATATATATATATATATATATATAATTAATTAATACATTTTTAACACTATATATGATAGTATAATCGTAAATGATAATATTATAATAAGAAATATTAAAAATAATAATAATAAATAAATAAAAAAGCACATAAATATGTAGTATATATGGCATTTAAAATATGAATATATAAATATATGTTGGCATGAAATTAATAGTTAAACACCTGTAAACAATACAAACTTTTATTATATTCACTGTGATTTTTGAGTTTAATGCAATGTATAAATGTTCATATTGTCTTGTTTTATGCTAAATTCATGAATACTTCCAAAATAGGCATGTACTAGAAAGCATTGCTTGTGCATGTTAAAAAGAATGTCATCAGAGTCAAGTATTCCATCCGTGTGACTGTCTCATTTATCAGGGGTTGCCACAGCGGAATTAACCGCTAACTAATATCCCAACTACTCTGGCATACGTTTTACGCAGGGGATCCCCTTCCAGCTGCAACCCAGTACTAGGAAAAATCTTATTTATTGTTGATTTTTTTTTTGTTTTCCACCTCAGACGATGTGTGTGACCTAAAGGCAGAGCTTCCCGTTTTCGGCATCCAAATGACGGCCAAAGAGCGAGGCTCGCTGGAGCACAACGAGGAGCGAGACCAGGAGGATCTGGACACTGGAAACGGAGAGAAGGGCCAGGAGGACGAGCAGGAGAAGAAGAAGGAGGAGCAGGAGGAGCTAAGGGGAGCAGCAGATGAGGAAGAGGAGGAGGAGGAAAATGAGCTGGAGGTGTTGAGGTCTCAGGTGGTGCAGCTGCTGCTGGAGCTGGAGGAGACCAGAGAGGTGTCCCAGAAGCATGAGGACAGCTATAATGAGCTGCAGGGTGAGTGTGCGCACAAACACAGCTGTGACATCAGAGTGACATCATCATGGGAGAGCCCTCTGAGCGTCGTCAGCTGTCACTGACCCATAAAAACACCTGTTCCTGCTGACTGGCAGGGCCTCACACTGGCATTCCTGACTTGTTAGTGCTGGATGCCTGGGGTAATTGCTGATTAGTCTGTCTAATGTGGCTGCAGGTCTTCTAGAGGTTTTGTTGTTCTTTTAAAGTCTCCATTTATACCATTTCATTTACTCCATTTATTATAAAAAAATATTTGGTTTGTTTTATTTGATCTTTCATCTCTCTTATTTAATAAATTTTTAACATTTGTTTAACTATAATCTGTTTGATTATGTTTTATCTTATTTCTTTTATTGTTGTAAAAAAAAATTCTATTTTGTTTTTTTATGTCATTTGTTTGAATTTCTAAAGATTTTCTTAGTTAAATTTGTTTGTTGTCTCATTTAATTTCTTTGTGTACATAACCATTTTTTTTTTATTTGTTATTTTTATTTATTGTATGATTTTGTTTTATTTATTATGCTGTCATATTGCATCATTGATGCATTTTAGTCTGAATTTTTTTTGGTTAGCTTTCATATATTTTACATTTTACATTTTTGTGTATCCCTCACTAAGATGCAATATTACAATATCTGTTATAACGTAATTAATTAATTAAATAATTGTTCCCCTTTTTAATATTTTTTTGTCGTCTTTTATGCCTTTTAGTTGTCTAGTTTTCAGTTGTCCTTTAATTTTTTTCCATTATACCCTTTTCCATTTATTTATTTATTTATTTATTTATTTATTTATTTATTTATTATATTTTTAATTAATTTTTGTCTTTTTATTTATTATTTATTATGTTCTAATGTTAGTATTTTCTGCTTTGATATGTTCTCCTATTCCATTTATTTGTTTTTTTCATTTACTTAAAAAAATAATAATAAATAATAAAAAATATATAAAAATAAATAAATAAATAAATAAATAAATGTATATATTTAAAAATTAAATGTTTATTTATTTTTTCAATAATATTTGTCTTTTATATTGATCTGTTAATTATATTTTGTGATTTTGTTACTATTTTCTTTTTCCATTTATTAGATTTCTTTTCAATTTACTTTTTAAAAAGTTATTTATTAAATAGATTTTTCATGAATATTTGTCTTTTTTTAATCTATTTTTATTGTCATTTTTGTTAGTATTTTGTTTTTGTTTTGATATGTTGTCTTATTCCATTTATTTGATCTTTTTTTCCATTTACTTTTTAAAAATCTATTTACACATTTTTCCACATTTTTCTTTTATTGAAAAGGCCTTTTTACTCTTAAACTTCTCATATTAATTAGGAAAATATATAATAACCAATATTTATTGGTTTTTGATGTCATTCCCTGTGTTTGTAGGTCTTTTGGAAGAAGAGCGTCTGGCTAGTGCCCATCAGGCCGAGAGCTTCACCAGACAAATCCAGAGACTTCAAGGTGAACAGAAACACATTTATAATTCTGTCTGCATCGCAATAAACACACTCACTGATAAATATAAGTAACTTAAAATATGACAGATATAAAAACCATTTTACTCGGTCATCAGGCAGCTGTTTTGTCTTATTCCATCCGACATTTTGAAAAACAGCTGTGTCCAGTGTTTATGAATAAACAAGCTGTTTTATGCTTTCATCACAGAGCACGGCTGATTTGAAGAGGCTATTTGCATTTTTTATATATTTATGCTGAAAGAAAATTAAAAAAACATTGGCTATGTTTGGAATTTTTTTTGCTGTGAATATTGTGCATTATGTAGATTTTTGTGTACGCACTGAATAACAATACTGTATAACTCCAGTATCATAGTACAATGCACTGTAAGCTTCGTCCCACAGCACAGTGTGCTTGACGTAAGATTCAATTGCTTAAATCAATTTATTTTACCTAATCTTGGATTATTTAAAGACAATCATTGTTTTGTTTGGTTTAGTTTTTTTGCTTTTAGCAATGTAATTTATTACAATTTTATTTCGTTTTTGCTTTTGTTTCTTTTGTTTTCTTTCATTTGTTTCCTTTTTGCTTGCTTTTGTTTGTTTTATTTTATTGTTATATATTGTTTTATTTGATTACATTTGTTTTTTCTTGTGTTTTTTGCTTTGCTTTTAATTATTTTATTATATTTAATTTTATATTTGCTTTGATTTTGTTTAATTTCTTGTTTCTTTTGTTTCATTTTGTTTTGTTTTTGTTTTGCCTTTAGTTATTTAATAAAATTTTTTGTTAATATATTTTTGTTTATTTTTGTGTTATTTAGTTTTATTTAGTTTTGTTATGTTGCTTTTAGTTATTTTATTTTTTTATTTCATTTTTGCTTATTCTTGTTTTGTTTTCATTCTATTTTTGCTTTGATTTTGTTCCATTTTTATTTTTATTTTATTTTTGCTTTGATTTTGTTTGTTTTTTTCTTGTGTTTTGTTTTTTGCTTTGCTTTGTTTTTTTGTTACTTGATTTTTTAAAATTTTTTATTTGATTTTTTTTATTTGTTGTTTCTTTTGTTTCATTTAATTTTTTTTGCTTTGCTTTTAGTTATTTAATTTTATTTATACATTTTTTGCTTTGCTTTTAGTTATTTAATTTAATTTTTGTTGTTTTTTTGTTTTATGTTTTCTTTTGTATCATTTTGTTTAATTTAATTCAATTTTTGTTTAATTTTTGTTTAATAATTTAATAGTCTATTCCTTTTCTCAATTCAAATGTGCAGAGGCTTGAATCCGAATACAGTACAGTATTACATACGTCACAACCAAACAAGTTGTTGGAGTCCTTAAAAATGTAATTTTCTTACAGCGTTTTGCCTTTAGTTTGCTGAAGTGCTGTTGGGTTACCGCAGTGAATAGAGAGGTGAAAAGCAGAGATGCTGGAGTTGTGTTTCTCCTCCCCAGTGACTCAATTACAGTCTCTCAGGGGCATTCAATTAAATCAACTGTGAGCAGACAAAATAAACCAGCTTTTGCAGAAATGCATGGGTGATGCCGTGGTGTCATTGTAGGTAATAGAGTCACAGTTATATGTATAGATAACACAAATGACTGCAACAATCACCATGAAAGACATTCATATGTGTATTTTACTGTTCACATTACCTACATTGCATGTAAGAAGCTGATTATAGTTTTCCAGAATCCCCTGCAGGCTAAAATGCACACTTTGAGTGGTTAGTTTGAGAGGTTTTGACATTTTTCTGCTTCTCGACAGCTAATGAATTTCTGTAATGAGATGTGAAGCGAATCCCTGATGATAGACCTCAAATGGTATTGATAGTCTTAAGAGGTTCATATATAAATGTTACATGGATTTATTAGTTAGAGTACAGCTTATATGGTTTTGGAAATCTACTGATACAGGTATTCAAAGATAGCATAATTTTCTTTAGTGTGCTGAAGTGCATATAGTATTTACATTTTCTCTGTTTTACCTAAATAGTGATCTATAAAGTGATGAATGTAGCTTTTATTTTCAATCATTTAGTGATGTGCTGTTATTTATATATATAAAAGATGTTCATTTTATGTGTATGTTCTGCTCCTCAGCCCAGCTGCGGTCAGTGCAGGAGGAGCTGGACAGTCTGGAGGAGGAGAAGGCCAGTGAGCTGTGGGAGGCGCAGGAGGAGCTGCGAGCGGCGCAGGACGAGGTGCAGGAGCTCCAACAGGCGGCAGAGGAGGCTGCCGCTGAGCGGGAGAATGACATCGCCTTGCTGCAGGAGGAGCTGTGCCGTATGCGGGCCGAGCTGGAACGTCTGCGCGGCACCACACAGGAGTACGAGCTGGAGCTCACAACACTAAGAGCCGAGATCAACATGAAGAACCAGAGCAGAGAGCAGCAGGAGAAACCAGGAGGAGGTCTGAGCGCAAACACACTGCAAAACAACAGTTTATACACCTTCTTATGCACCATGGTGCTTTGAATTAATTGAGAGTGGGACATCTGTTAAACTGTAAATGTGGTGTAAAAATTTTACACTGTAAAATAATAGTACCGCAAAAATCGTTGGAATTGACTAAGCGTTGACAAAAACTTACAGTGTTTTTTTTTTCAGTTGATGAATGATAAAAAAAATAAAATAAAGTGACATTAGTAACGATAATTTTTAATTTAATTTAATTTAATAATTTAATTTAATTTAATTTAATTTAATTTAATTTAATTTAATTTAATTTTATTTTATTTTATTTTATTTTATTTTATTTTATTTTATTTTATTTTATTTTATTTTATAACACCCTATTTGATTGTATAATCATTTTAAATTTCATTTTGTTTATTTATTTATTTAAATATTTTATTAATTTAGTTTAATTGTTCTTTTTAGCTTTAATTTATCTTGTCATCTTATTTCTTTTGCCTTATTAATCAACTAATAATTAATTAATTAGGGTTATAAATTGTGTCATTTTTATTTTACATTTAAAGCAACCAAACAAACAAGTAAACAAACAAACAAATAAATATGAATAAAATAAAGTTTATTTTCTTTATTATAGGTTATCATAGAGTTTTCTGTGTGCAGATCCCACTCATAACACACAATCTCCATTGCAGCATTATATCTGACATATTCTGATAGCAAATAAACCTTATGCAGATGCAGATATTTTCACTTAACCTCTCCCACCCCATGCCCTGATTACTGACAGAACACTCGATATTACCCAAAATGCACTGCCACCAACAAATACGAGTGTATTACCAGCTCTTTTAAGGCTTGAGTGTGTTTTTGATATAGTGACACAGCGCAGGAGCTTTATTTGTCTACCAATGATGTCTTCCTCTGCTCTCTGCTCCCTCCATGCCATTACAAGTTTACTTTAATAAGATCTGCAATAAAATCAACATACCAGTGATTGCTCTGATCACAGAACAGTGCTGAACACTAACCTTTGACTGATGCGTTGATGCTAACTCTGATCTGGGGTCAGATACAGCAGTTGTTTATCAGTATGTGCACTTCTGAGAGTTGTGTTTACCACACACGCACACACACACTGGATCTGGCAGAGACAGAGTGCAGATGTGAGTTGTTTTTGCTTGTGAGATTCCTGTTAGATTAGAGCTATCTGCTATCAGGGGTTGAGCGGTGCACCATGGGGGATGAGCACACTCCTCCTGATTGACAGCTCACACTGCTGATGCTGGAATGCTTTATTTACAAAGAAACTCTTTAGAAAATGGGTTGGTGTAGATTTTTAGAGTCTGGTTGCATGTTCGTTGAGGTGTTTGTTTCAGGGTGGTCTTTTTTTACAATGTCGTTGGTGAAATGGGACACAAAAATTATGGTTTGCTATGTACCTCAGGTTTAATGACACGGTTTGGTGTCTTTCAGTACAGTAAGGTGTAAAGAAATGCAATTGCTAAACACTAACATTTTAAATAATTAAATATATTCAAATGTGATTACAGTTTGTATATATAGTTGAAGACTAAATGATTAGTCCTTTTGTGAAATTGCTATTCCTTTTGAAATAGTGCTGTTTAATGAGACGGATATTTTTAAAAACATTTTAATAAAAAAAAAGAAAAAATGCACAAAAGCATGCACATTAATCTAAATGGACGCTCAGCCAAACAGCAAAAATATCATCAAAAAGGTGGCAACACCAAAGCTCCAAAAAATACCAATTTATTAAACTAAAAAGCCTAACACAAGGGTAATGTGTCGAGCAGACGTCTAGGGCTGGGCAATTTGGCCTAAAATCAAAATCTCGATTTATTGAACATTTTAACATGATTATGATTAATGGACAGATATTTTATTTATTTAGTTGATGTTTTTGCCCTCATACTGTGGTTCCCTGACAAGTTTTGTACAGTATATGTGTTTACAAATTACAAGTGAGAGATTAGGAAAGAGGGGTACATTACTTGACTTGAAAATAATTGAAGGAAACACACACTATTATGTATGATTATTTATTAAACATCAATGCTGAACAACTAAAACTTATAACACAGATTGCCTAAATAACTTGCACTTTTGGAAACAAAATGTATTATTTTCAGTGTTTTTCATATTAAAAGTCGAAAATAAGCAGTATCTCTTCTAAATGAAATAACTCTTGCATCTTCTGTAAACAAATATTTTAATGTAAACAATTTGAATGCAATGGAAAATATGCCGTCCCAAGGCATCTCTGGTGCAGCTTACAATCGTTGTCAATGTAGTGCAAACTCAGGCTCAAGAATGAGTCCGTCGTCCTACTTGACCAGAGATCAGATGTGGCTGCAAAATAGCTGCAGAAGTATAAATCATCCTCAGCCTAACGGAGCGGTGTCTCGTGACTCCACATGCGGTAGGGAAAGTAATTGAAAAAATCGTCCTGGAAAAATGTGATCGATTATAGGTTCTGAATGTCGATTACGATTACTTTTTGATTAATCGCCCAGCCCTAACACCGGCTCTTCATCAGACAGTTTTCATCACAGCATCATGCTCTTTTTATACACTTCCGGACCACATGATCTCATCCGTTATCTCAAAACAGTATATAAATTACACAACTTGCATATGATAATCAGTTGTTTGGGTAAAGGTTTTTTGGTGGTTTTGTAGACAACTGAAATTGTGATATTGGCTAATAATAACTTTAGCAGTTACACGTTTTTATGTTGAATAAGAAATATTAATATGTCAGCCAAACTAACAGAATTCAGACGTTCTTCAGAAGCAAAATAAAATAATTTAAAAATGTAATAGATAAAAAATATTGTAAAAAAAAAAATCTTGCTCTTTTAAACATCACTTTTCAAACTTTTAAAATTAGCAGGAGGGATAATAATTATTAATCTTCCACTATCTATCTATATGTTTAAAAACTAGATGTTTCTAAAATATATGTACACGCTGTGGGTAAAACAAAGCTGTATTTGTGTGGTGCATAGTCATATTAAATCAAAAATATAGTGTTTACCTGCTGTTTGGTTGATGGTGTAAATCATCTATTTCTGTGAAAGTATAACTATAATGCAAGACTTTAGAAAGACCCAAATACTAATATATGCTAGTATTCTGAATTCAGTGTATTTCCCTCCATCTGACATCTGTTGAATGTTGTGGTTGAACAGGTGATGTGGACCAGCTGATGGAGGAGTGTCGCTCTTTAAAGGATGAGCGTCAGACTCTGAAGAACGACAACAAAGAGCTCTCGGAGAAACTGGAGATACTGGAGCAGCAGCGAGCCAGGTGATTGGCCACACGGCCTGTCAATCACACACTCAGCCAACGAGGATCACTGACTCGGTCTGTTAATTGGGTTAGCTTGACCGCTGAAGCATTCGGCCATAATCTGTCTCAATGGACACACTCTCTGGAACTATTTAGCAGCTATGAATGCCTTTGCAGCTACATGAAACGTTAATGACTGTGTATTTCAACGAATCCAAATATATTGGCAAGGAGAGGAGCCACAGTTGTCCTACTGCTGTTTTAAAACATCAACTATGCATATATAATTATGTTTTTTTAAGTAATGCTAGACGTGTCAGCTCTAAAAACTTGGGAAAAGCTGATAGTGCTGACGTTTATTGCAATCACATACATTTTGCAAATTGAAACTTTATATCACCACGTTTAAACAGGGTTTTCTGGAAAATAATACAAAATAAAATCAAATATTATACTAATATAATTATAATTGTATGCGTGATGGATATTTGAGAGATTTAAAGTGTAAAGCATAATTATCTCAACTAAACAGTGCTTTATTTCTTTGCATTTGCTTTATTAATTATTAATAATTATACTTTTTCACATTTTAATCATTTTGACTTTTTTTTCCTGTAAACAATAGTGAAGAGAGATTTTTAATGATCGTTTTTATTGAGCAGGAATTGGTAACGAATGCTGCAGTGTTGCTGTGTGCATCTTTGTATTATAAATGAACTATACTTTTTTAAACTTTCCTCCTGATAGCTCCACCGATTCATACCTGGCCCTGAAAACTCAGCAGAACGACACAGAGAAAGATGATGAAGTTGAGACGGAGGTGAAGGCTGAGGGTTTCATCAGCACGCTGGAAATGGAAGGTGGGAAGTGCGTGGATGCTTATACCCAGAAGAACATCTCGTTTGAAGGCAAACCCATCACCCCGACTGGGAAGAGCGGAGGATTTTCAGAGGTGTTTTCTCTCCGAGATCAACTGAAACAAGCCGAAGAGAAAGCATCAAAGGTCCAGAGAGAGGTACAGCATGATACATTACCTTAATATACCTAATATTACCTCTTATATTTACAGTATATCTTCTCATTTCTCATTCTTTTTGTATATTTGTGTGTATAAACATATTTAAACATATGTATTTTACATGTTTATTTTAAAGTGTTTCAAATAATTATTAATGTAGTATAAATAATGTATCAAACATTTCACTGGCTACTATGTTTAGGTTCAATACTGTGACTTTAATGGTTAGTAAATAAGGCATATAAGAATAAAATGAGAATAAAAAAGATTTGAATATATTTGTTTTTAAAAATGTGTGCAAAATTTGTCTTGATATTATTTAATTATTTCAGTTTTTTTTCCATTAATTTATAACAAAAACATTCTCCACTCACAGTATGGGGTGAGTAAATTCACGCAAGGTTGCAAATAAACCCATCTGCCACTGTGATAATAACAAGTTTGAGCCAAATACTTGATATATTTTGTTTTCTTGCCTTCAGTGGTTCAACTTGACCTTGTGAGAAATATTGCTGAAAAAACCCTAAAGGTGTAACAATGAAAATCTAATTCTTTTTATCAAATATCAACAAAATGATTTGATTATTTCTTTCTGCCACAAAACACAAAGTTTCCCCCTGATACTGCACCACAAGTCTTTTTTTTTCTCTCTATATCTCTTGATTTTTGCAGTGTGAGGGACTGAAAGGAGAGCTGATGGAGCTGCAGGGGCTTTATGAGAGCAGTCAGAGGGAGAGGGCGGAGCTGGAGGCGGAGCTTCAGCGCTACAGGGCAGAGCTTGACCGGCTGGCCGGGAGAAAGGCTCAGGTGAGGGTTCATCAAAGGGTCTGAAATCATGCATATTGCATTGCTTTATTCTAAATCTACAACAGTTATGAATTGCAGACAGTGGTTTTGGAATGTGTGGATCTCCTTGGGGTAAAAAAAAAGCTACCTCACTGTGTAATAAATCACACACACAGACATTACTCACACAGCAAGTGGGTTGAGATATTATCAACAGAATGCCACCATGACTCCATCAACCTACATGTTTGTCAGCATTCGAAAATGCTCTGTACATGACTAACGTTTTTTGCATGTCGGGGGTCAACCACCGCTGAAGTGACCATCTGTCCAACAGCAGTATCTGTCTTTCAAAGCGCATCTTGTCTAACTAAACCACTCCGGTTGAGTGTGTGTGTTTGTGTGTCTTGCTTTGGGTTGCTTATTTGCCACATTGACGCTGCGTGTGTTTCCACATCTTGTGTTCGTCAAACCTCTTGCAGCTAATGTGTCTAGCTAGCTCTCCTGATCCACTGTAGCACATCGAGCTTTTGTGTGTGTACAATGTGCACTGACATAGAGGTCTTTCTAACCCCTGTAGCGTGTAAGAATGAGGACTTAGTATGAGCCAAAGAAATCCTAATTAAGCTTCTTTTTTTACTATCTAAGAGTCTGTCCAGTGTCCCATGTCAGTCATCCGTCCTTCATAGTTGTACTTTAACTGTGTGGTTAACCCCTCACTCACACTGTTCTGCCACCCACAATTGCTTTGATTCCTTTAAAGGAATGTTCCGGGTTAAAGACTAATGGAGCTTCTGCAATATGGTTGGGAATACCACAGAAACTGATGAAGGGTCAAGTTCTCTTCTGTTTATTAAGGTGCATTAACACACACACACACATGATTTTTATACTGCACACACTGTATTCCATCCCTCCATCCCAACGCTAACCCTCAAACTAACTATCACAGAAGGAAATCAGCATTTTATACATTGTTAAAATACTTAATTGTGTGTTATTTTAGCCATTTTCTTCATGGGGACCATTACATATGGTCAGAATTTACTGATATTGCTTTATTTGTGGGGATATTGTCTTGTCCCCATGAGGAAATCCGCTAAAAAATAACACAGAATTAAATGTTTGGCTGTAAAAAATGTTGATTGTTTTCTAGGGACAATAGGGACCATATTATATCCCCACAAGCTCAATATTTACTGATATCGCTATCCTAGTGGGGATATTTCATCCTTGCAATGTTAGAAATGCAAGGTACACACACACACACAGTGCAAGTCATTTTGCTTGCTTTTGTAATTGTTTCATTGCAAAATATTTATTTATGAATTATGCTGCCTATTAAAGAATACGATCTACTAATCACAAAAGTCATTACTGATTCCACCTAATTAGCATTAATTAGTACAGTTCCCTTGTGACCACTTGTGTTTGAATTTAGTTTTTTTCACGCTCTACATCACATTCACAGGAGTGAACAATCGGATGCATTAGTACTACTGAACGATCAAGCAGGCTTTATGGTTGATGCTTGAGTGGCTTATCTCCAGCAAATAAAAAAAAGCTAAATTAACCTCCCCCTAAAACTAAAAAAACACCCACCTATTGGTTTATTATAATTTAACTTTTAATCAGTATTCTTTGAAATTCTTGTCTGTTTTTCATCTCAATAACAATATAAACATTCCAATTACTTTAACATAGTATTGAGTCAATTCCCTGCAAGTTTACTTGATGTAAACACTCACAAACATATTCATGATTTCAATATATGGGGGAACAGTACATGTTTGTTTTATCATTAATATTGTCTGTGGCATTCAGCAACACATGTCAGACTCTTCCGACAGATTTAACCCGGTACATTGGTTTAACAGCGTGGGCAGGCTGTGCAGTGTGGGCAAGGATCTTTAAATGCCAAGATGGCAACCTTGGCTCTGCGTTCATCAGCCGAAGGGTCGAAAACGAGCACAAGGTTTCCATTTTGTGTTTAACCATCTTTGCTGTGTATCTAACCTGGGTGTATTTTCCTGTCTCCCTGCTCCCCTGTGGGCTTTCATCGCTTCGTTCTGTTGCTTTCTGACCACTGAACACCTACATGAACATACATGCCATAAATGCTCACGACGCACACTGCACTGAATCAAATTCCAAACAAATTTGATGATTCCTGATAAACTGCTGGCATATCTATCTATCTATCTATCTATCTATCTATCTATCTATCTATCTATCTATCTATCTATCTATCTATCTATCTATCTATCTATCTATCTATCTATCTATCTATCTATCTATCTATCTATCTATCTATCTATCTATCTATCTATCTATCTATCTATCTATCTATCTATCTATCTATCTATCTATCTATCTATCTATCTATCTATCTATCTATCTATCTATCTATCTATCTATCTATCTATCTATCTATCTATCTATCTATCTATCTATCTATCTATCTATCTATCTATCTATCTATCTATCTATCTATCTATCTATCTATCTATCTATCTATCTGGTTGTGTTTTCTCCCTATCATCCTCACACTCCTCATTCTTTCTCTCAATATTTGGTTATTTATCCATGTTTTATTTATATGTAACTCCACGTGTGCGCAAACGTCCCATGTGTAATCACTTCTTTATTTTGAGCGTCTGTCATTTTTTTTCTTTTGTTTCTCTCACCACCTCTTCCTACTCTTCCTCTCCATCCCTGCGCCCCCCTGTGTTTTTCCTCAGAGCTCCACTCCTTCGTCTGAGTGCCCTATTCTCTCCATACCCTTCATAGGAATGGTTGTAATTTTGGGCCTGATATGGTGCTGCTGGAAGGAGCTCTTGTCCTAAAGGGGGAAAGGTATGGCTTTGCCTTTTCTTTCTCTAAGAGTCCAGAGACAAGCCTTTTCGTGGTCACTTTTATAAGACATGATGTAATTCTAAACTGTTGGACATAGTGTATGATTTTTTTGAGGGCCCTTTATGGATGTGCACATTGTTTCACAACTGTACTTTACTAGTCTGAGAAACTCCTAAAAGAGTTTGTTCTCCTTTAATATGAAAGGTCTGTCATCGTTTACTCACCATTATGTAATTTCGAGCCTACAGGACTTTCAATATTCAGATTTTCATTGTTTATCTCCAATGAAAATCTTTTTTTTTTTTCATAAGATCAAGAAATAAATCCAAATGAACCAAACAAGAATCAAGTTTTTTCCAGGTCTTCTGAAGACACAAAATTAGTTTATATAAAAAAAGGCTTTTAATACTGCCTGATAATAGTGCATTAACTTCATGAGGAATCACAAATGTGTCATGGGACCTGCATGACTGGACCTTATTGGTTCTTAGGTGTCAAGCAAGAATTCTTCTGGGACTAAACATTCTTTACTGATTTAAGGTTTGTAGCTGAATAAAATATTTAATATCTGTGTATTTTTATGTATTTTTAGCTTGAAAATCTCATAAAAAGCAATTCAGAATTCTGTCTCTTTAAAATACTTTGATTAAGCTGCTCAATTCATATGAAGTAATTTCTTTTTTTAAATTCTTTATGAAAATTATAAATCTTAAGCTATATGATAATGATCTTAAGTTATAACAGACTTTAAGAGAGTGACAAAAATCTCTAATATTTGAGTAAAAACATTTTTAAAATGGCTTTGGAACAACTTGAAGGTATATTATGACAAAATTGAACTAACTTTGCTGAATAAACCAGTTTTTTAACTAAGTTTGAAGCAGAACAAATGCATGAACTGAAAGATGCTAATATTAAGAAGTTGCACATATGTTGTGTTACTGACAAAACAAAGCAATTCTGGTGAGCATAAATAAGCATCATCGTTTTAGAAACATTTTTATTGTAGCATCCAGTTGATTCTTAACTTGTAAAGGTATTAAACCTCCCTAAGCAAAACAAAAAACATTCAAAACCCTCTTTTTAGTATGTTAGAAAATGGGTCAGTTCATCAGATAAAAGTATTTAGAAGAGGCATTAAAAAAATTCTACTCCCCAAGGGAGCTGACATGATTTTTCAAGCATCGCCAACTTGTGCTTTTGTAGTTTGGGCGGCAGAATATTTGCATCATAGGCATATTTCCTATGTTTTTCACTCAAAATGTTTGGCTCAATGTAAAAATCGGATTGGATGAAGTCATATTCAGGCGTCCTCTGAGATTTCCAACACTGTTATCCCAGCCAAACACATGACACAACTCTGATTTCAACAGTTCTGCAGCCCAGCGGTCCCGACTGAAGCCACACACTTACACACTTCTCTGATTCTGCTGGACAGTCATGCGGTTTCCATTGCCAATCTCAGGACGCCAGATGGAGAGAGAGTAATAGAGTATGTAAAAGAGAGAACGTGTGTGACAGTGATTGCGGTATTTACTGGGTCATTGCTCTTGGCTTTGAATCACTCCACATTTCTGGATGGGTAAATTTAGCTCTCACGTCCAGCGCTATTACAGAAGATGACAGAAAATAAACAACAAGTCCTCAGTAGGTTCATCAAAACCAGATCCATTCTGCAGCCAGAGATAAAAAAACATTGATGGTGCAGTTTTATCAAGTTTGAAGAACGCCAAAATGTAAAAAAATGTCAGAACATTAAAGTTAGGAATAGAAACGTTTTATTTAAATGAGAAATGTTTGTTGATTTTAATGGATTATATTTACACAATTAGAGATGCACTGTATTAATCAATCAGTTATATTTTGTAGGAAAATTATTCCAGTAACATCTATCAATAAAGTGAGTATGAAAAAACTTTGTTTAAAATGAATCTTCCTAAATTAATTCATCCTACATTCATTTAAACCCCCTCCCCTCACACATAATTAATGTTATTGTTTAAATATTAATAATATATTTCTAGATGATTTAATACAACTATACTATGTATGCAGGTTTGGAATTATAAATTGATGATCGGGAGGGAGTTAGCTTTTTCTGTATAATATTAGTTTGTATAATATATACTTCAGTAAATCAAGTCATCTATCAAAACAACTGTAAACAAAACTATAGGTATTGTAAATAAACATTTAAGGCATTTTTAAAAACACTGTTTTTATTGATTTTAGTAGCTTTTAACATACAACAGAAATCAGATTCTAACATACAAAATAATAATTATAATGATGATAATAAATGAAAAGTAAAATAGAAAAAAATAAATAAAAATATATAAATAGTAATAATAAAAATTATATAAACATATCAGTAAATGCATGTACTTTCACATACAATATAAAGGTACACCCTATAAAAACAACGGTATATCAATAGCAGGTAATACTAGTTATACAGAGAAAAGATTTGCATCAGCTTCCTTCAGGATACCAACAAAGGGATTCCAAAATTTGAAAAACTTTTCAGGTTTTCTCTTTCAAATCATTTATTTTAATAATAAATCATATGTAAGTTTTCAGTGTGTTGTGGGATATTTTGTGTATTGTGACCTGCCGTCTCTTCTAATGAGCCATTTCAGAAGTTTCTGTTGGTCAAACTGTATAAACTATGTAGCTAATTTGACTTTACTTTTAGGTTATATGTCCAAACAAACACCTTTTTTTTTTACAAGAAAAAGTGTCTTGTGAACACACCACGTCTATTGGTGCTCTAGAACTGCCATTTTCAGACTGTTGAATCGTTTTTACTCACATTGAATGATTGGGGCGAATATGCATTCACAATGGCGTGGGAAGTTATAAGAGTGGTCAAATGTGTATTTAAATGATCTATTATTTTAATTATTAATATTATTATTTAAGATACAGATCAGACTGTTTCTGATCTGAACTATTTCTCACTATTTAGAGGGCTGACCCCCATACATGTTGTTTTGAAGTCCTTCAGGGGGGATCAAGAATTAATTAGAGAGATCATTCCCCACCAAACCCCCCTGTAATACACACCCTGATTGTATGCATCATTAAATATTGTTAACATTATGCAGTATAATTTTGTATTTTTAATACATATATTCTTTGTGTTTTGAAACAATCAAAAATATTTTGTGCATTATTAAAATTCTGTAAATGAATTTAATAGTTATTAGCTACACCTTTACTGTGTGCATTTATATTATTAAGTGTAATATCTCTAAATAAATACAAATATCAACATTCTATCATCATCAGTATCATAATCATATTCAACAAGAATTAACAGCACTAATTACTGCTTGGTCAAAAACATCAACTTACTCTTGACCTCTGTTGTCCCTTTCCCCTCTCTGATGTCATTCTCTCAGGAGAGTGAGGGAGACTGGAACCTGGTGATGGTTGTTGCGGTCGCAGCAGCAGCGGTTCTACTCATTCCCAGTTTAACCAGAGCTCTGGCCTGAAGGCTGAACAGAAAGTGACCTCATCCTCCCACTTCGCCTATGGTACTCAATTCTTCCTCCCTGACCACACTAATGGGAACCGAAAACCATTCTTCACCCAGTTCATGCGGGAACACAGTAGCTTCCAAACTCAATGCTTTTTTGGTGTGCGTTGTGATGCTGGTTGTTTGCCGTTCAGCTTTGCTTTTGTAGACAATCATATCTGTTTCAACCAATGAGGGAAGACTTCAACAGCTTCTGATTGGTTCCCTCCTTCCCATTTCATTCGCTGTTTTCTTCTCTTAATGGACGATTTCAAAGGTCGTCCTGAAACTGTTTGCCTTATCATTTTTTCAATAGAACATTTGCACATTTGACCTCTTTTTGGCTGTCAAGAATAAACTGATTTCGTCTTGAGGACCAAAGAGGATGCCGTTCTTCATTGAAAATGCTTTGGATGCTGCATTTCGCTTAGTGCATCATTGCTTTCCGTTTAGATAGGAGCATGCAGTACTTTTTCAATCTTCCTGAATCTTTTTTTAATATAGGGAAGGATCATTTGTGTTTAGCAATCATGATCCTCACTTTCGTCCAGGGCATGTTCTGTTGGATTTCTGACTCCAAAACTGTGTAGGTGTCTGTACAGCACTTCTCTGTTCATAGATTGCACACATCTGATGCGTAATGCAGTTTTACATTCCTTTTGGTCAAGAATGCAGAAGATTTCTGGTGGGTTGAGGTTATACCAGCAGGTAAATATGCTTATTTTCAACTTTCCACAGATATTTTTATACGCGAACTGTTTATTCCGAGACGTGGAGTTTGTAGATTGATTTTGTTGCGTGTAGATTGATAAATGATACTAAAGAGTGATCGATATTTTTATATAAAGGTTGACAAATGTATAACACTAAATGAACTCCGAAACGAGTGTAATGAACAAGCACAGATATACTGTAAATCTGTTGATGATTTCATTTTAAGTTATATGATCTTTTTTTAATGTTTGTAATGGCTAAACTCAGCATATTTACATCTATACGATCTATTCTCTGCACACAAACTGAGGCAAATGAAAGAGTTACAAAATGTTGGAAAATGGCATGAATCAGCGATTCTCAACTGGTGCCCAAAAAAAAATGAATCATAGTTCTTTGATCGCAGGGATAAACAGCCCCAAAGTTTCAATACTGTAGCAAAATCTTAAAGCTTATGAATGCAAAAAACACTTTAGAACAAATGAAGAATTCTTTCTGTATGATACATTTCAATGCAATTCAATGTTTGAGTTTTTTAAAGATTTTGGTAGCATGTTCGGTTGCCAGCCTGATGTGTAATGTAAAGCCAGACGAGAACTACTATTCTTACAGAAATCCTTGAAAAAAAGATGTCTCTTAATACTTGTGCACACTGGGAAGTTTTCGATTGTGCTTACCACCACCGTTTTTCCAGACTTCTTTCGCCATTTTCACTGTCGATCAGCAGTCCTTGACTCCCTGACGTTAGATGGCGCTTGATGAATAACAGAAATACATAACTTGACACACAGACACCAATGAAATCATCATTGAAATTCATCTAAATTCTTCATCTATAGGAAAATGTGCTTGTCTAGACTGTTTTGTGCAGGAGCACCACCAATTGTAACCCATTGGTGAATTTTTAAAGCTTCATGCATTTTTTATATTAAAATTATGCTTTTAAACCCAGCATTTTGCGCATTGGTGTGCACGCTTGTATTGTTTAGTCACAAAGCATTAAATTTTAAAGATCATTCATTAATTTTCCTTCGCCTTAGTCTGTATTTCAAAGGTCGCCGCAGTGGAATGAACTGCCAACTATTCCAGGATATGTTTTACGCAGCTTTCCATCCACAACCCAGTACTGGGAAAATGTTAATGATCAGTGCAAGCGAAAATCATCCCAGTGTGCTTTTACAATGCAATTCAATCTGTAGCATTAATATATAAAGCATGAATTGATATCTAGCTAATAAAAATGCTAGAAACAGAAACTTCCATACTGCCTTTCACCAAAAATGTATGCCATTATAAAAAGAAATAGACAGTTGGCCTAAAAAAATTAAAATTTGCTTAATTTACTCAACCTGAGGTCATCCAAGATGTTTTTTGTTTTTTTCAGAGACCTCAATGTAACCTAAGAGTAAATTAATGATGGCTTTTAATTTTTGTGTGAATTATCTCTTGAAATGATGTATGTTTACCTAGGGAAGTTCAAAAAATGAAATATGTAGCGTTTTCCTTCAGAGGTAGATTCAAAACAAAGTATAACGATTAATATTACTATCGCTGAACTCATATCCATCATGAATGCTCTGAGGTACTATTGTTATGAACAAGACTCTATTTCTTAATACTTACAGTATCTATTACTATATAATCGTTTCTGGTATACACACAAGTTGTCTTCACCTGATGTCTTTTTACAGCACAAACTAGACTAGAATTGTAGCAGTGTGTTATAGTGTTAAGACCCGGCAGTAGTATGGGAATATTTACAGCATCCCAAAATCTTTCCAGTGGCGTTTTCTGCTGTCCTGTCGATAGACTCAGAATTACGGTAGCACAACTTGATTGTTTAATGTATCAGTGGTCGGCTGACTTTCTATAAGACGCTGCATGCTACACAGTGACTTGTCTATGAAATAAAATAAACGTGCTATTTGTCCTGCGCCGTTTTTTTTTTTTTTTTAACGGAAAGTGTGTTTTACATCAAAAAGAAGTTGATGTATGATGAAGGAGCCAGAACAAAATTCACACACTCTTTCTCTCAGCTCTTGTAAATGATGTAATATGTACAGATTGTGCATTTGCATGTTCATGGCAGTAGATTCTGCATGCCGAGTGATGGAAACCAGTGGTAGATTTAGCTCATGTGACAAATTAGAAGTAGATTTCGCATGAAATCAAATCGAAATCAGATTTCTTTCCACATTTGTTTAAAGTTAAATATGAAGACCAAGATTTTTTTTCTTCTTTTGTTCTTGATTGTTATAAATAGCACTGAAATATTTTCAAATATCCGACTGGAGCTTTGAGAAAACGTAGGATTTCTCCAAAGGCACCTATATTAACTGTATGTAGTCTTGAATGTAGTTTTATCTCTAATTTAAAGTCCATAATGCACATTTTCTGTCCAGTTCTCTGTTCCGTTTATTATCTAACTAAAGCCTTTTACGTTCTAAGAGAATTACAGATTGTACAGGCTAACAAAATCATTAGAAATCCATCGTAACGGTGCATTAATGGTTGTCGGAGGGTGTTAAATGTGAGGAAATGTAGGTTTGTATCATTGTGGCGATGCTGCTGCTTGTATGTTTGTTTGTATGTGGTTGTGTATTGTGTATCTCTTCTGTACAGTGTCTTTGACATGTTTACATGTTGTCTCGCCTTAACAGGCACTTATTTAAAAAAAGCATAATGAAATTTGAAGTATTTTGCTAACCATGTATATTTTGTAAATGAACAGGAACAAATAAAGTCGTTTATCCAGAGCATCTTGATGTAATACACGTGCTTGATTATTTCTGTGAGATCTGAAAGTGAATCATAAGGTGAGCTGACATCTAAATGACGACCAGATGTCCTCCTCCATCTATGTCTAGGCTTTCTTCTGACCTTCACATTTCTCTTATTTGTCAGAGTGCTGACGTTTCTGAGTCACGGCGGTGACTTCACTGTGAGTATATGAACCTAATCTATTTCTGGGGTTTGTGTGTCAGGAGGTTTTTGCTCTTTTGGACGTTAATAAATGTATGTCTCGGTGTATGACACAAGGGGGATCTACTTTTCCAGTAATAGTGAACCATATGCCTGTATATGGTTTAGTCACTGGTCACCACATTCACAGTATAAACATTTCTGGAAAGACTCATTGTGTGTTATTGTAATGAATTCTATTGTGTGACTACTCTATAGCACAACTTTGTGTTCAGTGTTTGCAATATATATTATATAATAAAATGTTTGGGTAGCACTTTATTTCAAGGTGTCTTTGTTACGCAACATATTTACTATAGTAATCACAATTAGTTATGCATAATTACATGCAACAAACCTTTCGTATTCTAACCCTAACCATACATGCAATTCATTAATATTACTCAGTAGTTAAATGTATACACTGTAACAATGACACCCTAAAATAAAGTGTAACCAATGCCTGAACTGCATATAGAGGGTGTAACATTTCAAGTTATCTTGTGGCATATGGTTGGTAAGTAATTTTTGAGGTTGAACTGATGTTTATGTGGCCATATATTCATAACTTTTTTTTGTGTTTGAGCCAAAGGACTAATGGCACAAGCTTTAAACTAGCTCGGGTGTAAATTATAATGACTGAATATAGCTTATAAATTAATTAAATACGATGATCTGTTGTAGCTTGTTGCCATTCTGATTAAATTCTCATCATGCATGAGATTAACTAGTTTTGCATGGTGCATTTTGTACTGTATTATGTCTGTATTTGAGATATTTTAAAGAAAAGGTGATCACACATCATTCATTTATATTTCTGTATTAATTATGTAAAATCTGGTTGTTTAAAAGGATAGTGACAATGCATAAATATTTAAAATGACAATAGTATTTTGGAGTTGCATATGTTATTCTTTATTAATTTTTATTAATTCATGTCTTCAAATGATCCTTGTTTTATTATTATTAGATTATTATTTCTTGTGTTAACTGTAATTTTTTAACTGTAAACCATGGTAAAATGTAGGATGGACTTTTTTAGAGTTTAATTTTGAAATTAATCATCTCACATTCTGATTGAAGGATGAATTACCTTATAATTTATGGAGAAGAACCGTGTTTAATCACATGTCGATATAACGTGAACAAACCATAATGTAAAAGACCATGTTTCTGTTATAACTGGATACTTCACTTTTTGATAACACTTTATTTTGGTCGTCCATTTCAGCATTAGTAGACTGTCTGCTTAACATCTGCTGATACTGCTCCTTTAACAGACATTTAACTGACTATAAGAAATTTTGCAAGTACATGTCAACTTACACCAACCCCAACCCCAACCTAACAGCCTATTTATAATCTAATGAGAACTAGTTGGTATGTGGATGCAATCAATGTAACTTAAATTCAACAAACCATCAAATTAAAGTGTGTCCCACTTTTTTCTTCACATTAACTTCATTTATTATATCCACATTTAACAGTATATCAGGAAGGCATGTACAGTTAACTCACAGTATCAAAAATGCCTCCACATCTATATTTATCAAATTTTTTTTATAGTGTGTGACTTCATTGACTCAAATAGAAGTTTTGTCAATTGGGACCACACTATTGTTTATTAATAAACACTCCTACTGTTTATTATTAATTCATAAACAGTCTATCATGTGTCTTCGGTGTTTAGAAACGACGTATCACTGACATAATTATGCTGTCATTTGCTTTTTCAACACGTTCTCACTCCCAACTCGTCACATACTGACGCTTGGTCAGGAACCCTCGGCGTCAGTTATTGACGCACAGGGTACCCCTTTAGCGTCATATTTAGACGTGCAGGGATTCCCTATAGAATCTGTGCCTGAGCCTGAGGTGTCATAGGGAGACGCTGGAGGCTCGTATAATTACCAATAGATGTCAACAAACTTTTTAAAACCTGATTTACGCCTATTATCATAGTTTTCTTATTTTAAAAATATGTAATTTTTATTTTGTTTATGAAAAGCGTCTGTAAACGGGGTCCAAACTACTGTATGAATAAACTTCGGCCCACGTGACATCCCTTCACGGTGAGTTTAACGCCGCTCTGCTATTGGTCAAACTGCATCAGCGGTGAGTTCTCAGATGAGTTCAACTGTCAACATTAAATATTACGTTAATGCTGCATAATATATTTTTATTGGAGATTAGTTGGTGTTTATAAATATGTTATCGTTTACTTTATATTTAATGAGTGAAAATATATTCGGTTGTCCAGTTTAGGGTAACTATGCCTAATAAAACTTTGATTCATTCATATTATTTATTATTTTTTTACTTTAAAAAAATATTAAATTTCAAGTACTAAGTTTAAAAATGTTTTCGGCTGATATTTTTCATTTTAAATTATTTATTAAAGTTGGGGTCATTCTATGTGGCGATCTATTTTTTTACAGTCTATGCTCGCTATCCCAAGGTTCATTGCGATCCCAAGGTTCACTGCGGTTTTCCACAAGGTAAGTAAAAAGTAAACAAACACGATTTGTTGATAAAGCATGTACTGTAAACTAGCGACGTTATCTAATTACATCAAGTTCATTTATTAAAAACATATTTTTCTCACATATAACGTTGGTCATGCATTAGAACAATATATACATTTTAAGATAATTAAGGAACAGTGTAACCAGATTGTTGTTTTCCACAATAGAATTCGTGCAAAATCTATATATAATATGCAATATGCAACTCTAATAATACAAATGTATTCGTAATTGTTTCAATATTAAAGAACATCAAGTGTTTCCAAAGGTTTATTGTAAAAACAATTATTTTCCATGCCTTTAAAGGAAAAAGGCAGAAATTCTGCCCGTCTGAGCACATTTTATTCATTGTACAACACAAAACTAAACAAAAAAATAGCTTAATCTACCACACACACACACACACACACACACATATATATATATATATATATACAGGTGTACATTATAAGGTGTTCACTGTTCAGATATGAATATTTTTTCTTTGCTCTTTTCAGGTTCTTTAGATTTCTTTAAAAATCCAATTTTGTTTTCTAATAAGCAAAAAGTAAAATCACTTTACCCATGTTTATATGTTAAATTGCACTTGTCTCTCTCTCTATCTCTGTTAACACATTTATATTTGTTTGATTAATTCTTGTGTCTTTCAGCCTGTTTCTGCCTATCACCATGAGTGATTCCTCAATACTCAGATTTATCATCAAGATCTCAATTATAAGCTCAAGTTTTGATGACAACTTGGTGATCTGCAGAAAGCACCACCATGTAAGGAAGGCCAAGACCACTCTGGAATCAGTCAAGGGTTAGTGAAGTTTTTCATTCCATGTATATGAAATGTCTACATTGTTTAGGCATATGTGATTGTATGAGATAAAATGCATTTATTATGAGATAAAATGCATTTATTCTTTCACTACTATTGTAATAACAGAAAGAAACGCATTAGTTTTACTATTACTATTGCTTATGACAAACATTAAAAAACTACAGCATAAGCTCACAAAATATTGTGGCCTAACTGTTTAAAACTAATTGTTCTGGGTGTTGATAGTGGCCAACCATTTGTTTTCTTTTTCAGAAAGTATTTTGTTTTGTCTGATTTTATGACACCTTATAGGCAATCAACTGCCCACATTGGGGTTTAGGAAATTAGAACTGCTTATGCTGCTTGTCTACTAGTCTTAGGATAAGTTAGAAATGTTATAAATGTACATTTTTTTGTTGTTTTTATCTGGTACAGCTCATAGGAACTCCAATCTTCCCAACTGTGAGAGGGCCTTGCTCCAGTGACTGTCAGTGTGTATTTCATTGTTTCCATTAGTCCCTGTATCTGTAGACCTAGGTGACAGTGGGCTAGAGTAAAATTTTGGTTTTATTTAAACTAAGGCATACTGATGGCCTTTTTATCTCAGATTTGGTCATGCAAGTATTAATATATCCTAAAGTATTTTTTATATTCTTTCCATTGGTGGAAAAGATGTTGGTATAATTATTTTTAATGGACTGCTAAGATCTCAGCAGACATTTTTCTGAGATATTCTTGAGTGGGAGTCTGTGCAATACAAGGTGGATAGTATTTGCAAGGAAGAGCCCTTCATCTGTTCTGCTTCCACACTAGATATACTGCCAATTTAAGTAGATATGAACCATAAGCATAACCATTTCAAGAATGCACGAGGTACTTTAAACTGTATGTGTTGAAACTAAATTAACAAGAAAACAGCTCTTTGATGTTCACCTAAGAAAATTAGATTAGAAGATATAAACTGTTATGCACTTGTTCTGTACTGTTTCATTCCTTTTTCAAACACTGGCATTTTAAAGGTTTATTTACAGCTAAGGATTAAGGATTGACAGGAAGATTTGTGGACTACATCAACTAATGACACTACCTCCAAAGAGTTGCAAAAAGCTGTCCAAAGTTTCAGCACCATCTTTAAGCCCATGATTTTAGTGTGTTTCATGCCTAATCACATGAGTTTATATCTGAGATAGATGAACTATGTGATTGTCTTAAACTGATCTACAAGTAAATGCCAAAACTTGTTGGTTTACTTATTTATTTATTTGTTTGTTTGTTTGTTTGTTTGTTTGTATATGTTAACCAGGTGAAATGGAGTGAGGCATACCAGGATATGCCTGGTTTTACTTTTGGGAAGGAGGTTGAACAGTGCAATATTTCTTCTATAGGATTGCAGTGACCAGACATGCTACTGTAACTCTCATGGTCATGTGCTGGAATTAGCAGATATTCAACAATTTGGCCATCTTGC